CACCAAGTCTGGGTGTGTTATTCCACCAAGTCAAGGTGTGTTGTTCCACCAAGTCAAGGTGTGTTGTTCCACCAAGTCAAGGTGTGTTGTTCCACCAAGACAAGGTGTCTTGTTCCACCAGTACAAAGTAGGTGTGACCAGGACAAGGTGTGTTGTCCCACCAGGACAAGGTCTGTTGTTCCACCAAGACAAGGTGTCTTGTTTCACTAAGTGAGTGAGTGAGTTGGGTTTTATCGCCGCTTTTAACCTTATTCCAGTTATATCACGGCATGTCAGCTTAATGTGGAAGGAAAGCCCGAAGAGATGCAGGTCTCAGACATTTACCACTTCGGTGAAACCCAGGAGCACGGGTATGGTGCTGACAAACCTAGAAACATAATTGGGGCGAACCGGGATTTCAACCCACAATCATAGGTTTCTGGCATGCCCAAGGGACGCAACTCAGCAGAGCGAGTCGCGGCGCCTTAGATGACTGGACCACCCCAGCCCCCTGTTCCACAAAGACACGGTGTGTTGTTCCACCAAGACAAGGTGTGTTGTCCCAACAGGACAATACACCTATGCATAAGTCTGGCTGCAATTTATCACTGTGACTTTGAACTCATTGAACATCCTCCACATTTGGCACTATGAGATTTCACATCTTCTCAAATTGAAAGAATGAACTGTCTGGCAAGCATTATGCAAATGATGATGATGATGTCATTTCTTCTGTGGAGGAATTTTTATGCAACCAGGAAGTAGCATTATGTAGCTCCTTCAAACAGTGCCACCTGTGAAGACATCATCATTCAGCATGCGATCCTTCAGCTACAGAGCAAGCTCCAAATGGAATGAACTCCCTCTCTCCATAAAGACTTCCTCATCATGCACTCTCCTGCTTAAAAAAACCCATCAAGACCCACCTGTTCCAAAAACACTCTCACTGACTATATGTTTCATTGCAGCGCACAGAGCACTTATACACAGTGAATGCTGCGCTATGCAAATGCATATATTATTATTATTATTATTATTATTATTATTATTATTAAAAACTATAAATGATATGCTGAATAGCATAAAATGCACTTATTTCTTAACTGCTGTTCATGTATGTTCATAACTGGTCATGTTTCAAAATATGCTGATCACCCAAAGAAATGCGAATATCGGAAGTTTTTGTTCTTTGCGTCTCCTCGGTGCTGAAGATTCGGAAGTCACAGATTTCATTTTAATCGCATTGGATGGTTTCTTCCCGATTAATCTCGTTACTTCATTATTCAGCGCTGATACAACAGCTGATAATCGGTTGATCTTAATTGTTCTGATTTCATTTCGATCCCATACTGATAGCCAAACAAACGTCCTGCTAATGTCCGGTTCAATCTTTCAACAATAGCTTGACTACGGTGGGCCTCTTTTTCACCACGCCTGATTTCGACATCGTGCTTTGTTAACAGTTTAGTTATTGATCCCATAAACTCGCGACCAGGATCTACTTGAAATAACTTAGGCCATTTTAGTGGTCCACATTTATATATGCGACTTAGTGCATTAGCTACTTCTGTTGAATCTTTCGAGGTTAATGGCTCAGCATCTTTGTATCAACTAGCCACATCCACTACAGTTAAAGTGTATTTATACGTTTTGCGTCTTACCTTATCGTGGGGAAGAAACAAGAGGTCAGCCTGATGAACTTCATTTGTTGTAAAAATATCAAACTTCTTCCTCGGTATACATCGCTTGTTTCTTTAACCAATCCTTGGCCACATCTTTAGATACCTTAGCTGCAGTGGCTTATTTTTTTATTGCTCCTATACCTTTCCAATATCCTCGTGGGCTATAGTAAATTTTATTCATTATTAGTTAATATTGATGTTTCTTTTAATAACGACTCATGAGGATCGTTGAATCGCATCATCATTTTGACATAAAACATTCCCCCTGTAGTGGTGGTGGTATAGGTATATAAATCTGGCTCCAGTGGAAGTGGTCCAGAACCATCATTACCTATACTACTCTCTGGTTTATTCTGGCAGATATGAAATAGAGGTAGAAGTTTCGTAAGAATTATCAAACAATAGTTTATCATTGTTAATAATTCTAAGAATACTACCTCCATTACATACGAATTACACCTTCCCCACTCTCCAATTAATCTACCCTCTGGTAATAGATGAGGGAAAAAAGTGATGTTGTCGTTATTATGATGTCATGCCTTGGGGAGTTGTGAGACTATTTGGCGGCAACTAATTGTGTGATTGACAGCGAAGAGGACGTCATGAGGTAAATCAATAAAATTTAGTTGGTGTGATTGAAGCAAAAATACAGGATTTATGGCAGATATGTAATAGAGGTAGTATTCTTAGAATTATTAACAATGATAAAGTGTTGTTTGATATATTATTTTGTTAGAAGATTTTATTCGTAATAAAAATGATAGTTTCAAGTACAATTCTACTGATCACTGTATCGAAATTCTTTAAAGTAATATTATTTGGTAATTACAACAGCTGATTGTTGTTTCCGGCTTAGTTACAGATGGTAATCTTTATCTCTGCATATAAAATAATGCCTAGTAGAACTGGAAATACAATTGAAATGGTAAATCATCATGTTGAGTGATGTTTTATTTGACATTTAAAATTTGTATTGACCAAAATTTGTTTTCACCTGTTTGTTTACCTGACTTCCCTGAAGGGATACGATGTAACTTTTTTCTGCACATAAAACTTGATTTATTCTCAAAATACTAAATACCCCAGAAGAAGGTGTGCATTATGCAGTTGACATACAACAAAGAAAAAAGTTTTATTTATTGTTCATTCATGAGTAGCAATGCACACTGTGCTTCCTATCTAAAATGAAATACAAGATTAATCCATAAAATTCCATTCAGTACTCTTAGTGTACTCTTCAGTTTTGTCAGTACTCCCTATATTAAAAAAGTACGGAGTATGTACTCCTAATTCTGAATAATTACCAGGAGTCCTGGATTTAGAGCATGTGCCTTCAAGTGCAGAATCTTCATGAGTGATAACACTTGGGAGATTAGGATTTTGTCGTTTCGCAGTCACGTTCATTTTCCACTCTGCTGACCCTGAGAAGTACGTCTGTTAGAGTTTGGTTGTGTCGTTCCAGGAGACTATTACTCCAAGTGCTGTACGTAGATGTAGTTTTGATCTGAATCTCACACTTCCTTGTTGTTGAACTCCTCTATTGTCGCTGTATAACTTCTTGGGGGCAGGATGTACACTTATCCAAATTTGAATACATTTTTTTACAAACTGCCTTGATCATAATGATTGCTTTTTTTCTCATAATGCAACCAGCACTGAAGCGTGTAAACTCAATGATAATGTGAAGGTGCCACACACTATGTCCACGTTCATGAGGGTCAAAAGCTTCAGCCTTGATGTATTCTGTAGCCAACTAGGAAACCCAGTAGCAGACTTTGGACTTGGTCTTTTGTTTTTCAAACAAGTGTCACAATTTTCTAAGATTTGCTACAGCAAATTAAATTTCTCTTTGTTGTCTGTGCCCGCACTTTAAACAAGTTTTTTCAACCTTTCAAAAGAGGCATGTCCAGACTGTTTGTGTAGCTAAGTCACTACCTTTGTTTATACTTGCTCATACCGTCAGTCACAGTCTGAATTTTTTCAGCCTTGCCAAAAGTCACATCATTTTCCTCATCCAGGATATCAACACACTAATTTCCACTTGATGTGAATTGTAAAGTGACTTGTTTCATCAAACATCCAAGCAGCGTCCTTGCTATGATCTAGCACAGTGCCTGCTTTCTTTACTGAGGCTTTACTGAGCAGCAATGAAATATCAGCATTTACCACTGCTGTATCAATATTGCAAGCCATGGCAAGGACTAATTTGTGCACTGGCGCAATGTCCTGATGGAAGAGCACACATAAGCTCAGCTTCCCATGTCTCTTAGTCTTAATGTCATACCGAAATTACCACAAAAGTGCAGCCTAATATATTCTGTTTGTGGTATTGACTTTTGTCTACCATGAGGATACCCCAGGCATCCCAGAACAACGATGCCATAACCTTTCCAGCGGTAGTGACTCAAATCATTGCAAGAACTATCCACGATCAGCTTTCACCAGAGCTAGATTACCATGAGACCTGTTGTGCCTGGTGCATTTGATCAGATGTCAGAAGCTTTGGAACCCAACAAGCTGATACTTTCTTCATTGTCAAAGTTTCTGTTTTCTGCTAATGGGATGTACTCTCTCCTTGAAAATGCCAACTCACCAAGCTGTACGACACTCAGTCATTCACCAGTCGGTTATCACCATATCATGGATTCTTAGGATCACTTCTGGTGTTGCTGATATCACAGGCCTTCCGGGGTGGTGGGGCAACTTCAAGGCTCTCTTTGCCATGTTTAAACTCTGCTTCCCAACACTTTATTTTCGCATAGGAAGGGACATCCTTCCCTAGTGTTGTACTCAAATCTTTTATGATTGGGCTTTGGTGTTGAGCCCTTTTCCTGCAATTACTTGATCACTGAATGTTCCTCAAGTTTTCCATTTTCCAAAAGACGTGGACCTTTGCTTACTGCACTGACTAGTCGCAGCAAAACAATTTGCTCTCTCTGTTGACTCAACTTTTTGTGGATACACTTCTATGACACCATGTAAAGTCAACAACAAAAGGTTTCATCTTTATGCAATTTCTTCGATTTATGCTCAGTCAACCTTTGTAATTGCTCCATTTACTTTAGAATGTGGTGTTGCTGTTATTTTCAGAAAGAATAGTGTATGTGCTGGAACAGTTAGTACAAATGAGCATCATGATTCATCAATACAGATTTATACAGTTTGAGCTTCAGTGCCTTTTGCTCTGTGTCTTGCCCTTAAATGTGCTCAAACAGTTTAGGTTCATGTTAATTGAGACATAAATTCAGTTATGCCAATTTGATCCATATATCTGGCTACTGTAATTTATCTGGTATTCATTCTGAATGACACTCAACTTGAGATTTGTGTTTGTTTCAGGCAGTTCTAGAAAGTGAATGTTTAGAGGCGCTGTGCTGGTGTCTTCTTGATGTAAGGACAAAGTCATCTGCACATGCAGACATCACAGCGGCCTTAGCTGTCCTGGCAGATGAAGGTATATATTCCCTACATTCTTTAAGTGAGCTCACCTCAAACAAAATATTATAGGTTGTGTCAAATTGTCCACTTTTAAGTAAGCTCATGTCATGGCCTATTTACCCACAATCTTTGTCTATGTCAACAGCGCCAGCTGCATCTTCACATACTTCTTATACCAATTAATGATTACACCTGATCAAGATGTTCAAATCTGATTGAAAACATATCTATCGCCATTACTCAGGAATGTTTGCTCAAAATGTAATGAAACTTGGTACATGTGCAGCTGGTAGTGGTGCTAATCATATCATATACAATGTATTATGGGAATTGTCTAACCTATGAAAGACGACCTCTCCAACTTGACCCTTCAAATCATTACATAAAGGAAATACTTTGGGGAATGTCTGACCCAACAATGTATAAAGGAAATAGCTGACAGACATATATGCCACATGCTTGCGATGCTTTGAATCTAAGCTACACCAACTGAGACTGCTCATCTGATCTTGAAGACATTAAACTGCATATCCAAGCTCAAAGACACATTTTCACATCATCAGAAATAGCATATCAACAAATACGTACACAAGTTAATCTTAGCAACTGGACTGAAAATATAAATGTTCATTATATCTATCTGGATTTTTGGACTTAAGTTTACAGTCTATTTTATTATAGTTTTGTCACATTTTCATTCAGAAATGTGTTTACATTAATTTTGGTGAAATTGTGTGTGAAGCAGTATTCTAAACACCTGCAACTTCCATTTACCTTACTTCCATGGGGGACCACTTTACCCCACACCGTTACCGCATTAACTCACTTATTCACAGCATTCACGATCAGATTACTGCTATAAGCGCATTGAAACAAACCTTAGATGTCAGAGTATGGATACATATATCATAATTGCCATACTTTGCCTCTTTAAAAGTCATATTTGTTGTAGTTTGACTATTATGTAACATTTTGTTTTTTTTGTGAAGAAAATGGCTACACAAGACTTGACGGTGACCTGTCAAACTGTTCCATATTTAAAATGTATCCTCAAAATAACAAAATACTGCGTTTTATGTTATTGCTATTAATTTAAATTCATGTACAGAGAAGGCAGGACTGAGATAACATCATATTAGGAAATATTATTCGTGGCATAATAACAGTTTCAGATACTATTTGTTCTTATCATTTCACAAAACTTCTTCTATTATTTGTTATGTTTTTGACTGAATCACTGGTAGATTGAGACACAACATGTGTACACAGCTGATTGCTTATTCTGGCTTAGTTAACGATCCAACTGCCCACAGTAATTTTAACCTTTGCATATAAAACAATGCTTAGCATTACAGGAAATACAAATAAATGTTTATAAAATTTCATGTCTACTAATGCTTACTGTTTAATCGCAATTTTCATTGACAAAGTTTATCTTTTGTTCATTCACCTGAGGCGATATGACATAGTTTTTGACTGGCCACAATACAATAAATAGTAATTATACTCAAGTGAGCACTATGCACAAGAAAATACGATATTACTGACCTACATTCCATATTAAGAATAACGCGGATGTTTGATAACGTAGATGGTCACCCATGGACCCTGAAACCCATGTTATGGCAAGGGATGACTGTATTATCATATTAAATCTCAGCAAACGTCCAACTGCATCCAAAAATTCTAGAGGAGTTTTATGCCAACTGCGCATTTTCTCCTTCAGACACAGCAGTCTCCCCTCAGACTTCTGGGTGGAGAGGCAGCACCAAAGTCTATCTGTGTCAGCTTAGCACCTTCTGACTTCTCAATCCCTTATACCAGCTCCACAAATCTAAAGAGGTTGGGGTGCTTCGTGTTAGCAGATTCTTACAAAAGTTTGCACATGGTTATTTTTTAATTTCGACAATGAAAACGTGTGACGAGATTGACGAGATTGATAAACATTGCAGTAGTAGGAGTACATACTGTGGCGTGACATGAATCAGGTGATTGTTTAACTTATGCACATAACTTGACAAACCCACAAAGTCAGTAGCCAATCAACGGAGAGTAGGATCAAAACAAAGTGCACAGGACCTGTCAATCAAGGCAAGAGGCGTGAAGAACTGCAACAGTCAGTCTGTAACGAACCAGAACAAGTCAGTCTGGAAGAAGGTGGCTGTTTCAAATGACATGGTCAGTTACCGCCAGATTCAGACATTAGTTCCCTGAGAATGGGAAGACACAGTTGGAAAAATGTGGGTTAGAAATGAACCCTTAAGACATGATATTTGTAGAGCCCAGGCGAGCAGACAAAAAACCTGCGAGCCTGCACGTTTGTGGTTTCATTCTTTATCGGCCTTCGGTTTCAAAGGGTAGTTTGGACAATGAAAACGTATGAATTTCGCTACATGTCCTGTGCATGACAATTCACTGGAGCAGAAAGGGAATTCCCTTGACTGTTATATTGGGACTCCCCAATATTCCGTAGTAACAAAAGTAGTCTGCCTTGGTGGGCGTGGCTTAATATTTTAATTCATTCGGAAGTGAATGCAATAACACGTGAGCAGTTCAGCTAATCAGAATGCAGGAATTACAATGAACACAACAAAAACTTAATTATTTCCTATTGTATACTACATGTAGGATTATGCTCATGTTATGGAGAAGTTAATCGTTTTATTACATTCTTATTCTTTGATGCATTCATGCGTTATCATTTAAAAGACTACTCCAAAGATTTGTTTATGGAACTCAAGCAACCGAGCACAGATCAAACACAACTTATAAACTCAATCATAATCTGGTTCATTTGTATCACATGACAAATAGGAATATCTTACTCTGCTCACAGTAAGGACGTGCTCATTAATTAAGTAGGTAAGATTAGGCAGTGATACTGGTGCGATTCACTGACCTGTCCCGTGGAACAAACATCTTGCCTGCCTTGGTTTCGAACAATGCTCCAATGAACCAGAGCCATTGTGAGGGGATCATTTCCATTTCCATGGCACTGACGAGCCAGCCTGTTTGGTGAGCTGCAGATGATGGTCTAAGACCCAAGGGGCAGCATTAGCTGGGCGGAGGTACTACAGTCATCATGACTGATCCAAGCAGACAATGCATCAGACGTGTGTTACATAAACAAGATACTGTCACTCCAATACTCACTTGCATGGGATCATGATGCTCTAGATATCACTTGTACAGAACTTCTTCCTTAGGTGCTTCAGAAGATCTCTGACACCAAGAGACTCCAGCTGGTTTTGGTCGCACCCTTCTGGCCAGTGAGCTAGATCACCACTTTCAAAAACATCGCTGATCGAAGCCACCATCTTCTACCTTTTCAAGAAGATCTACTGCTTCAGATCCACTCAAACCAGCTACATTCGTCACCAGAGACAATCCATGTCTGTGTTTGGCACATCCTCAGAAATCCTTGATTGCCAAAGGATATTCTTGGAGTGTGGCTCTGTCAATTACGGAAACACATCATACTGCTCTCTTTGATCGTAAATGGAAAGCAGTAGTACAGATGATTGTTGTTGTTGTTGGTTTGTTGTTTAACGCCGCACTCGGCAATATTCCAGCTATATGATGACGGTCTGTAAATAATCGAGTCTCGACCAGACAATCCAGTGATTGATATCATGAACATCGATCCAGGCAATTGGGATTGATGACATGCATCAACCAAGTCAGCGAGCCTGACCACCCAATCCTGTTAGTCCCCTTTTACGACAAGCATAGTCACCTTTTACGGCAAGCATGGGTTGCTGAATCTTCACGGGTCTGTGATGATCGGGCTACTGGACCACCCCACCTGGACCAGGCCATGCTTCTATGGAGGTCCTAAGTTTATGTGAATTATGTGATGACAATCATTAATTTGTCATGTATGGTGTCAATATGTATCAACATGCCATTCTATATCGTGGAAACTATTTATTCTTAATCTCCCTTTTATCTTCTTTGGTTTTGGCACGGAATGCTTGTTGTCTCCCCTGTTCTATGAACTTTTTTTCCTCATCTTCACTAATGCCACTAGTCTTATGAGAATTGGATCGAATCTCCTGCTTCATAGTGTTGTATTTGGTGAGTTCTGACAACACTAAACGAAATTCTTCCTCAGATAGCTAGTGCTCTTGAGATATGATCTTCAATGGTATTTATCTTTGCTTCAACCAACACACGAATACTGTCATGTTTTAATGCTTTCTTTTGCAACTGAAAAGAAATAAATTTAAGAGCTATTCCTGCCACTGCAGAGACTCCCACCACTACTTCCATACCAGGTATGATAGACGCAGAGATTATTGTTGATAATAAACCAACACCAGCTGCACCATGCTAGCTACTATAATTGCTGCGTCAACTCTGTCAAGAGCATTCACAGCTCTGTGATACTTTTTATATAATCCAATTCTAGAATCACACTCCTTCTCTATTTCATGTTTTATTTCACTTATTTGATGTAATTGAAATCCATCAACAGTATCCATCTTTTCAGATGCATCACCGAGCACAGCATATAAACCCATAACAAATAATATCATACAAGAGTCTTTAACTGATTGTCTGTCAATGTCTTCAGACTACACATTGACCTTATTAGATGTATCTTAGAGGGATTAAATATCTTAGTCAGCCAAATGCTCCCAGCTATAACTTGGACCCCTTCAAGGATTGAAAAGTGTGCTCTTCCTGTACTGCAATATTGACGTTCATGTTTTTTAAGCCAATTAAGACTTAATCCCGGTAATACATCAAGGGCCTGTTCTGGTTCTGTTCAATTTATTTTATACATCATTGAATTCAGTAATTTAAGCTGATTATCTTTTACTGCTGGGCGACTCAATAACATATGGCCTGGTTTCTCTGATAGGGGAGCAGTGAACACACTCTTTTGTTTTGAAGGAATATAAGTCCCAAGTAAAATCCCACTATTGATTATCTTAGTTAAATGATGTACCTTACCAGTCGTCATCACATCACATCGGTTTTTGTTTCGAGCATAGTCCATTTATCATGAGT